CGAGGGATCCGCTGTTTTCTCGTTTTCCAATCAGATACCAGCAGTTCGCCAGATCTAGAGGAGGGGGAAAGAATCAAATTACAGGAGGAAATTGACGAGGAAGGAGATGAGATGTCGGCCTGTACAGCTTACGCGGGAGGAAGTTGGAGCAGCTGATCTGTGCAAGTGAAAAACAAACCAGACCAGAGGCACCTTTGCTTTTGCACTAACAACGCCCCAGGCTGACGACAACAAAGGGCTTGTCTCACGTCGAGGGCCCCAGCTGCACCTGTCGCGCTGCGCTGCCGTAGCCACTGCTGTCGGCGCAGTGAATCCACCTCCCCGAGAGGCAGGAGCTACGTCTGCGGGAGAAGCTCTCCCACCAACCTAGCGCTGTCTGCACGGGGTTAGGTCAGTGCAATTGCGTCACTTAGGGGTGTGGCTTTTTCACAGCCCGGAGCGCTGTAGTTATACCCATGTCAGTCTGTCGTGCAGACCAGGCCAAAGTCGCACGTCCCAGGGGGTGTTCGAGACTCAGCCAGAGCCAGTAGAGGTGGCGATGTCGTCTGGGTCCCTCTCTCTGGCCTGGTCCGATGAGGACGTCTCTCAGGATCAGGACCACAAAGGCCCAATGGAGTCACAATGGACGCGGGGGTCCCAGGAGACGCCGGGGGCAGCAGCTGTGAGGGGGAAGCACGCGCCTTCCCCTGCGGCCAGTCAGCAATTGTTGCCTTTGCTTCCCGATTTTTCTAGAATAGTCGTTTCTTGTGAGGACCCCAAGAGGGAGCAATGGAGAATAGCCCCATCCCCTCGTTACTTTGTCGGCTAATTAGGCCTAATTTTAGCACCCCAAGTTTGCTCCGTGGATTTCCAGTCCCACGCTTTCTCTGGGTCACCCAGCATGACTCTAACCCTGTCCCTGAATTATAACAGGAGGCCTTTTGGGTTAGACTAATCCAGTCTTTCCGTCCCCCTTTTTCCACCTTTTCCCACCAACCTGTGTTGTTCTTGTGACATTTGCTGAACTTTTATCCACGTTCCCCCAGCCCTACAGGGCCCCCGTTATCTCCCAGGATCCCACAGGGAGTCGGTGGCAAAGTGGCAAAGTGAGGAATGGAACCCAGGAACCCCAAATCCCAGTCCCCTGGCTCTAACCATTAGTCCCTGCTCCCTCCCAAAGCTAGGGCTAGAAACCCGGAGTCCGGCTTTCCTGCTGTAACGTAGTAACCCCTCTTCTAACTGTAACCCATGCTGACATCCTGTGCTCTGTGTGCCCCTCACGTGGCTGGATCCTAGAGAGGCCGATCAGACCGTGCAACC